TGTTTTCCTGTGTCGAGAATGCAGCCTCACTTTCTCTTTGCCACCCTGAATTCTAGCAGTCCTTCATGGGATAGTCTGAGCTCATCCTTCTGTGAAGCCTGCCATGGAACTCATGCCTTCTTTCACTGATGTCCCGTTATAGTTACAAGATCGTGCAGGTTTGTACTTAATGGCTGTCAAACTGTCACGACTTAATCATATACCCCCAACCAGATTTAATTAATTCAGTGAAATATATACAAGTAAAATAACAAAATATGAAGTTTGAAAGATGGAAGAGGAAAGTGTACTAGAAAAATCCATTATACCAAGGCCCAAACTTTCCATTTCAAAACCCTTTCAATGTAATGATAACACTCTATATTGGAGAGTTGATGTGAAATATACACCGTAATATACACTTGATAGGTATTTTCATTGGGACTAGTCTTTCAGGAAAGCCACTTGGACTCTTAAAATTCTTTGGACCGAATACACCCATTTTTATTAATTTTTGTCAAGGTAATTATTAGAGGTACAGACAAAAAGTTACATATAAGATTGTTCATTGCAGGATTATTTATGACATAGAAAAATAAAAATAACCTGAAAGGGAACTTAATAAATTAATAAATTCCCTTGCAGGTATTAAAATTAAGTTTTCAAAGAATATTTAATTGCATGAGAAAATCCTCATTTTGTGATAAAAAGTGGGAATATAGAGGACACACCCCATTCAAATCAGACCCAATCCAGGCTCCTTTCTGTTTCTCCTCTTTTCTTTTTTCTTTCAGTGCTTTTGCCATAAACCCTTTGCATCTGGGAAAATTGGGACTTGCTTTGGAAATTCATATTCTGGTTTCCAAAGCTAACACACATCTATGGATCATTTCAAATAATTGGAGCAAAATACCTTCAACACTAAATATATAAATCTAAAACTATAGAGAACAGAAGTTAATCTTTTGTCAGTTGCTCACTGTAAATGTCAAATATTACTGTGCTAGTTAAAAGAGATTTCTGCTAATAAAAGGACAAATCACCCAGCTTTATTGTACCATGATCTACATTATGTTGTATATAGAGCCACATTATACTCACACGTTACCTTGGAAATAATACCTGTAGTTGAGTCTTGTTATAGTTCTTGTTCTGTCTGGATGTAGTTGTGTGACATTGGAAAGTTTTTTTCTCTTTCTGGATCTCAGTCTCCTTAACTGTGAAATGAGCATACATATTTGTCATCCTCCCAAGGTTATTTATGTGTGTGTGTGTGTGTGTGTGTGTGTGTATGCCTGTGTGTGTTTGTGTGAAGGTAATAAGATGTACATTTCAATGATAGATGAAAAATCTGAAGTATATAACCTCTAATAACTCTTCAAGATACATAAATTTTGACTGTGTGATGTCATGAAATATATTTTGTCTCCTGTTATGTTACCTCTCTTTGTAACTGGTGGTGTGGCTTCTGCAGAATTCTCTCCAGTGCCTCAAAGAGCACAAATGCTTGTGGATAAAGTTAGGTCTTATTATATTAGCAAAGGTTGAAAAGTTTGAGAATACACAGTGTTGTAAAGGATGTGAGGAAACAGGCACTGTCAAACACAGTGAGTGTAGATTGATTTTGGAAGGCAATTAGGAATAACCTATCTAAATTTGAAAAGCATGTACTGTCTATTCAGCCATTCTATTTCTAAGACTATTCTATAATTATTCTTGTAAATGTGGAAAGATTTATGTACAAGGATGTTCTTTGCAACATTCTTTACAACAGAGAAAAATACATAGAACTCAAAATGAGTACTGGATACGTAAAATATGATATGACGGAAAACTATTTGGCTATTCAAAAGAATGAGTTGAGTTTGTATGCACTGAAATGGAAAGATGTCTAAGATATTTCAGTAAGTGAAAATAGCAAATTGAAGAAGAATTTGTATGCTGTGATATTATGTAAAAAGAAATTGGTGTTCATATAAATTTGAATAGAAAAATTTTGGAAGGTTGTAAAGAGCCATTAGGAGCAGTTGCCGCCACAGAATGGAGCTGGGGAGGGTTGTTTTGCTCTTACATATTGCTTAAATTGTTTACTAGCAATTTGTATTATTCCTATAACAATAAAGGAGGAATTTTCACTTATAAGGTTAGAAATAATAAATAAATTAACAAAGTTGCAATGATCATTTTTGTGCTAGATATTATTCCCTTTTATGCACTATTTTATTTGGGGGGACTCCCGGAAAGGTAGCACTCCATCATCGGCTATAATAAGTTATACATCAGGTTGTTTTCCAAAGAGTTGTGCCATTTTAAGATATTACCGGCCTTGTATGAGAGTAACAGAGTAATATATTTTACTTGTATTATTTCTAAAGCAATTGTTTTCGTTAATTTATAGTACACATGTAAACTTAATTACTGTTTTTATTTTACCAGAATTTGTGGTAGCCCATTTGTCATTTATTTTACTGTTGACAATTTATGTTAAGGAAATATTCTAAATGCAAACAACAATAAACTAACAAGCTTTATGATAAAAATTATTATTCTAGAAATATCTACAACAGTAACAACTTAAAATTCATGAAGAACAGTTAATTATGGTTTATCCACTCTACACCAAGGGATTATTGGGTTAGTATTTAGTTATTTACTGTATATACCAATAATATAATAATGTAGAAGTAGACTATACATACCAGGTTGATTAAATGAAGAAAAGTTAACATATATAGTTACAGATATTGGAACTACATAAGAATTATATATCTATTCATAGAAAAAACAATGGAAGGAAAGTCATTAAAGGTCAATTGGAAACAATTTTTATTAAAATGGCAACAGTTAAAGATATTTTCCCCTCTATTCAGTATCTGAAGAGTTAGAATTAAACTAAATAAAGACTATGTGTTTATTGGTACAAGGTCAAGTTCAGGGCTCAGTAAAGGTCAGTGTCCCTTCCACACTTACTATAAAGTAGAAAAGTCTATGTTCCATGTTCTGCTCTGCTATATGTTAGGAAAGCCAAACTTTTCTGTCATATCTGTCTTTTCTGTCTTTATTTCCTTTCTGTCCTCTTTTTCTCTAGAGTCATACTCTATAAGATTGTGGATCCCCAGATGGTAATTCTATACAAAACTACAATAAAATATAAAACAAACAAAAATCTTCAATATCTTGTAAACTTTAATGAAAAGGAAATGAAAACAAATATATGTATGTATCTCCATGATGTGGACATTGTGATGTACACCAGAAATTGACACATTGTAATTGACTTTCAATAAAAATAAATAAATAAAAATACATATATACATACATAAAGGCCAATACTTACCTCTCTCAAAAAAAAAAAAAAAGAACAAAAACTTCTCCAGATAATGCAGAAAAATGTAAGGTAGAGTCTGTGTGTTTCCAGAAAATTGTAAAGGTGTGGAAAAGGGAAGTTTATGTTGACAGTGCCACCATATTTAAGGAGAAAAGCAATGATATGGATGCCTGATATTTTGATGGATAGTTGAAGGCACAATTTCCCTTTCCTCTATAAAGAGACATGACTGGTGATGTTTGAGTGAATGCCACATACTGACTCATGGAATTGAGAATTGTATGAAAAATTAAGGACAAGCTAGCTTCAGTTTTTCCTGTATTTATCAAATTTGGCAAGCAGAAATTTTAAGAGTTTAATGATCTAGTTTGGAAATTGTTTTGCCTCAGAAATTTGCAGTTATTTTTCCTAAAACATGGGAGACTGTCAAAAGGAAGCCAAAGATTGTATCTGATGGTAGGGCTGGCAATGGGAAGACTGGAGATAGGGACATTAGAACAGGGAAATCCCTTGCAAAACATGTACAACAATCAAAGAAAAAGCTAAACAATGGGAAAATAATTAATTCCCAGGGTCCGAAGTTAGTAATAAACAATAAAGTTAATTTTATCGTGTAGGAAAAAATCAAGGGGTATAGCCCATCTGAATACATGCATATTCTATTTGTTGAAATGTTGATCTAGAAACTCTGAAATTTCCTATTAAAATCTGAGGGATGACTGAGCCCTCAAAAGATGCACTACACCATCAGCTACTTGTATTTTCTTTAATTCATTAGCAGTAAACTTTATTTGTGGCCCAATCACATCTTCCTGTGTTCCAAATATTTACATTGCTTTCTTTGTTTCCTGTCATTTTGTATACAATATGCAAATATACTCAAATTGAAATATAGCTTAGCAATTTGTAACATTGTAAGACCATAAAGTATAAAATATGATCACTAAATATTTTGGTTTAATGGGCCTGGTGTTCTACTACATATTTATTTTAACTCACTCTTAAAATGTCAAATGAAACTCAAAAATCTGTTTTAGGTCCAAATGTAGAACTATTAATTTTATGGCCCAACATCTGATTAAATTTAACTATGCTTCTAAGAGTATATAGATTCCAAGCATTAGATGGGCTGACTGTTTAATCCCATCATTTTAAGTGGAATTGAACCACATCTTGCCAAATATGATAATATCCTGAGGGAGGGAGAAAGGGAGAAATGAGACAACAGAAGATGTTTGGAGGCTCTGTGAATTTATGTCCTCCGCTTGGGAGGCTAATCAAAACATTTTAATACCTCCAGTACCCACACTTGGCTAAGACAATGTGAAAGTAAAAACAGTTTTCAGTGATTTCTCTTGCATTGATAAACCTATTATCAGTGTCAGTAGACTTACAGAGTTAAACACAGTGCCTGCATACCCAGGAATCAGTGTGGGTCCGAGGCTGTATAATTTCCAGTAAACAGTTCTAAGACTTTCCCAATGGCTAGCTTTTGAGGTAATGGCATTCTTAGTCGGAGAAAAAGGGCACAGACAGGCTTATGCTCAAGGCTCTCGAGAATCCTGCTGACTGGTTCATTAAGCAGAACTGGCAACTGACTCCTAAGATAAAAGTTCTTGATGGATTTCCAAGCCAGGGGAAGGGTGCTGAGTGACACATATAAATACATAAAGGAGAAAGAAGGGTGAGCTTGAATGGCAGTGACCTTTTCATGAAAAGTTTATGAAAGAGGTAGAAGTTATAAGAACTTAGACTGCATTCTGAAGAATTTGTTCACCACTAAACAAACGGTGAGAACTGTCTCCCCAAAGTGGGGGATTTTGGATATCCTTTACATATATATATATATGAAAAAACTTTTGAAATAGTGTGGTCTTAGAAGTAGATTGCTACACTGGACTACTGCATATATTCTTTTTTCTTCGGTTTCCTACTGGCTTCATGTGAGACTCTGGGAAAATCTCTTGAGGATTCTTTTAACTTCCATTACTTTTATCTCTGAGTATTATGTGAGTATCTATTGCCTCAATGAGTATTTACTGATTTATATTATACATATAATTAAATGCCTTGAGTTCTATCTATAGAAGAAATATATAATATAAACAAATGATATTCAAATATATCTATTTTAAGATATAATTCAGGGGAGAGGGTATAACTCAGTGGTAGAGTATGCGCTCAGCATGCATGAGGACCTGGATTCAATCCACAGTACCCCTGTTAAAAAAATAGTAATAAAATTAAAATAAATAAATAATAAATAAATAAATAAATAAAGCAAGCAAGCCTAATTACCCATCAAAGAAACAAATTTTAAGAAGATAAACAAGAAAATGCTAGTGATTAATTTTTTAATTAAGAAAAACACATACTTGGAAAATTTCTGAGTAGTGACTGCCATTTAAAATTTTTTTTTCAGAATGAATGTATCTCCAAATCTACATGATGATAGTTTATCTCAATTGTCCTTTGTCCTATTTTTGCATCAAGTAAATCATAAGAAACATTTTAATTAGAGATATGAAGAGGTAAAAGTATTATACTAGGCCCCAAATCCTCCTATGTTTTAAAAAATCAGTATAAGTTGTTAGCATGATAAATCTTTGGAATGCACCTATAGGGATGAATTTTCTAAAAAGCAAACTGAAGTAAGATTAAAAGTCAGCTTTCTGTGGAGATAATAGTCATGCCCATAAGTATTTAATCATTAGTGGAAAGGTAGTATATCTTATTTTTATTTAATAAAAGTCAGTCCTCATTGCTGTTACCAATTTCTGCCAGCATTTTAGCACTTTTCACTAGAAATTAATGTTTTACAAGCATTATACTTTTATAATTACCATGCTTTTATTATCTTACTATTAAGTATATACCATTGACATAAGAGAATGTCTTTATAATCAGCCTAGTTTCTAAAAAGAGAATTTAAAATGATTTCTATTGGCTTTTTACAAATTCAAATGTTTTCAATACATATTCTAGTAAAGTACATTAATAAAGTCCTTATTCTTTCATAACATAAAGAAGAAACAATGATTATATTGTATATTTCAACCCCTTTTGACAATGGTTCCAACATGCTCTTCTATTCTGCTCTAGTTGTGGTAGAAAGGCTGGTTTAATAAATTGAATTTTAAATGAATTTCTAATGGAGTATTTACAGAATAACCTTAAGATGACTATAAAAGAGCCAAAAAAGTAAGTAAAACTTCCTAAATGCATAGTGCCATGATCCAATCAGCCATTTACAGTTGGTGAGTTCAAAGTCAGAGGACCTGGGAAAGCATTAATCCATATGAGAAAAACAGATAGAAAGAATAATAGAAAAAAAAAGGGAAAGAGAGCTTTAGCGAATTAAATGAATGTTAATAGGTAAGGATAGAGAAACAGCTTTAAGAATAATTTTCCCCTTAAGATGCAAAGAATATGAGAAATATGATGTTTATAAACTATGACAGGAACACTTTTCTTTTAATAATAACAATAAAAACATAAAAAAAAACCCAACAGGTATCACCATATCAAAACTATGACAACTCATTTAATTTATATGTGAGTAAATGTTTTCAGGTTTCATATAAAATTCATGTGTAAAATAATTTTTTTAATGATGTAGAAAAAAAAACTGCCAACAATAGAAAGTTTCTATTTTCTTCAATAATTGTTTCCTGAGAGAGGAGAGGGAGTGAAGTAGGGAGAGAGGAAAGATGGGGAAAAGGAAGAAAAGAAGGAAAGAAAGAGAAAAAGTGCACTATGTGAATTTACATCCTCTACTTGGGAGGCGAACCGAAACATCTGAATACCTTCAGTTCCCACATTCTGAGTAAGATACTATAGGTAAGTGAAATCAAAGACTGCTGGATACAAGCTCTCTGTAGGTGTATACACACTTTTCTAGTGGGCGTTTCTTCATAACTCTGTCATAGTCCCTTCAACGTCAGCATCCTCGAAATCTAATTCATTGTCCGTCTCCCCACCCTGCTGCCTCTCTGTATCCCCTGGTGCAAGTACCATTTCCCAGATCTCTCCAGCTAGATACACTGGTGTACTTACTGACACCTACCTTTGCTTCAGATGCTACTTGTTATTGCTTCAATGCCAGGACTGCCTCTCAATGTATGATATCCCACTGCCTGGTATTTCATAGTCTCTGTCCATCCCCGGATTGCTCAGTTATCTCACAGTGAATTTGGTCAGGCCACTCTCTCACTGAGAAACCTACTATGAGCAGAGATTAGGAGGACCTCTGCCACCCCTTCCATTGTACTTGGCTTCTAGATGAAATTGACAAAGACTTCCACTGCCCCAGTTCTGTGACTTGCTGACCAAAACCCTCCCCCAGACTTTTACATATGCCTGTGGGAGTTAAATTCTCAGGTCAACTCAGCCTCGGGGCCCTGCCTCCTTAATGTACCTGAGACCACCAACTCAGCCCACCCCTTGATTTTTCACAAATATTAAAACACCCACTCACATGAATATAAGTTCAATAAGCTTGGAGATTTGGGAGAAAGGCTGATGAATGTGTTAAACATTAGCAACACAGGTAACCGCAAATGGAGCAAAGAGATAATCGTTCTTAAAATATCCCTCATTCCGCCTGTGCTGGGGATGGTTACTAACATGTTTATTTATTTATTTTTAATCTTGCTTTTCATTATCTTGTTGAGTTTCCCCTTTTCTTCATTTCTCTCTTCCTGATCTCCTTATCTGAGAACTCCAAATTCTTCTCCTTCTATTTTGTGGTAAAATTCAGCTTACCCCACTCCCAGCCTCACGTGCATTAAACCCATCAGATTTGTTCAATAAAACCTAGCAAGGAACAGACCAGTTGGTCCTTCATTTGAAATAGTACTGTCACATCAAAACTGTCTTGACAGAATTGAGTGTGTAAAAAGCAGAATTCATCACATCTTTTCACATGTGATATGAAATTAAGGCTTTGACAACTTTTTCCACATTGTTGAAAAGGTTGTTTAAGGTTTACACAAACTTAATTCAAAGCAAGATACTATTAACCAGAAATTTCAAAGCATTTAGGAGAATGTTAACTGTCTTCAATGTACGTGTGACAATGACTTGGAGCTGAGAGTGTAGCTACTGGCTTAATGCCCGAAAATCAACATGGGAAATAGTTGGCTACAAAAAGCAATCTGGGGATCACAAATAATTTCCTAAAGTAGATCTGTTTATTCACAAAAAAAGTATCAATGTGATGACAGCTCAGGAATGGTTGAGTGTCTGCACCACGCCCTGTGGACAGTTGGGATTTTGCACAAAACAAAGGCTTCTAATCAGTCTTTTGGCAAACCAAGTGACCCGGTGTTTAGGGTAACCTAACAGGGAGAAGATAGAAGCATGAAAGAGAAATAAACAAGGTGATGTTTACCCATTTATTTCAAGTAATAATAATATGTCTTAATCTTTTAATGAGATGTTAAAAAGAAAACACACACACTTGAAAAAAAAACACTAACACAGAGGCAAACAAGATTTTTAGCTGATGTTCAAGGGCTGAATATTTAGGTCAGAATGAAGTTCAAGGTGAAATAGTAAAAAGAATTGCTTGCTTTGAAATTAATGGAGAAAAAAATGGATGCACACTTTAGTATCAGCACTGCTTTGTAAATGTGATTTTGAAAACTGAGAAATCACTGGCTAGGTTGAGAAATAGATTTCTGAGTTGTCATAGGAATGAAACCAATATTTTACCAGCGGATAGCTCTACCCTCAAGCAACCTTGATGAACTGAGCAAGATCAAGGCTAGATTGTAGTCCCTTGAAGCACTGATGATAAGCACACTATGGCTAAAGGACACAAATTACCCTTGGAATCATAATGCAGGTACCTTGGATATAAGAATAATGTGATTCAAACTAATTTCAGACTGTGCCAAGCAGGAAGAGAAAGTCCTTTGGGCATTCAAGAAGAACATTTAGACAAAGCAAAACAAGAAGGGGAATTTGTGGTTAGCAGGAAGCTGTTGCTCATTTATATTTTATTGAAGATTTAAAATGTTAGGCAAAAGAGTATGACAAGCAGAGAAAGACATTTGGAATGTACCTGGTTTATAACTGAAAGAATCAAATAGAAGGAATGATAAGCATCAGGAAAATTAAAAAGGTGTTCTCTTTAGTTTCTTAAAATTATTTTGGAAACTCAGATGGGTTAGAAATATCAATGTAGATTTTTCTTGTATCTCGTTATGATGCTTCATATGAATTACCATTCTTCTATGTTAATCAAAGTGAATCCCTTCCAATTACACAGATTGCTATGAAAAATCATGAGACATCACATTTTACTAAATGGGAAATACTATTGATCTAAGAAGATCCACTGAATAATGGAAGGGGTCCATTTTCATTACACATTCCCTCTAGCAAAGCTGAATGAATATGCTGGTGAAAGATGAAAAAATTAATTGATTTTTATAGTTTCAGGTACCTACAGAGTTTCAGATCCATACATGATAATTTGTTAATAGTCATAAATAATGTTTTACTTGCCTCCATCCTCACAGTACAGTGCTAGGAACTGTTTAGGATATGGTTAATAAATGTCAGTTCTTCATTTTTAGGAGTTTGCAATCAGAAACTGATGATAATAAAAGAGAAACACATAAAAGGAGGGATAGCTTTATAAACCACATAGACAACAATGTTCAAGTATAAATGCGTTTGACCACTGCAAATGTGGAAGAGATGTGCTTATCAAGATGGGATAAAAAGACAGTATCTATTTTTAGGAAGCAAGTTCTTGGTGCTAGCAGATTATATTAAATACTTATTTAATGTCTGTAAGAAGTGATTTTGTTAACCTATCTATCTGTCTACCTATCCATCCATCCGTCCATCCAAATGAAAGAGGATATAAAGTAAAATAATCAGAGGAAGAGGGTAGTAAGTTGATGCACGATGTGATTCAATCAGAGGGTATACAAGAAGAGAGAGAAATGACTAGCCAGACATTTAAAAAATTAGGATGAAAGACCTGTCTATTGAG